ATCTAGGACAAACAGCATCAGAGCAAGGCATCATTCTTACTATTTTCGTGAGTGAGTAGGTTTTCGAGACTACCAACTCATATATCATTCTTACGACTCTATTCAATCTTACGAGTCAAGAAAACTCATTAGGTTATCCTTGAATGCTGTATAAAAATTCTTTTTTTATGAGTATCAATGTGGTATTCATGTGTAAGAACATCTCAGTTCATGAGCCTATTGAAGCACTAGCGCTGAGCCTAGTTGAACAGCCAGATACAATAAAGAAAGCAAATTTGAGCAAAAGTAAAATCGTAAGACTATTTGATCTATCCAAGTCTTGCACACACTTCACCTTTAATGATAGTCCTTTATGAAAATGAGCAAGATCTGGCAAGGGTATGCTTAAATCAAAAGTGTCCTCAAAACACACATCTTTTCCCATATACTACGTGCATATGGTACAAATCCTTACCAAATTTATTTTGGCTATACGAAAACCAAGAAATCTATGTCGCGGCAAGTCAACGCTATTAAATTTAAATAAAATTAATTTCATATAATGTAATGCTCAGATGTTTTTTTCTTGGCAAGAGTCCAGATCTACCTATTTCCACTAATAGATAACTAGAACAGGTATCATTTAATATGAGATGTATTCAGCCAATTTCGTTTAAGGTGATAAAGGACTGGTAGAAGAAGAATTTTCCCAAAATGATATGAGTTTACCTGATGTTTCCATTGAATTTCACATAGCCTTGCTTTCCCAAAAGTTGTTCTCATCCATTCAGGAGTGGACTGCCGTTTCGACCTCCCATTGGTCTTATCAACACCCTCAGCGGGAGTCGAACCACGACAATGCAGGATGGGAGCTTGACATGCTAACCACTCGGCCACACTGCCACGAGAGCCTTTTTAGTCACAGGGCAAATATGAATTTTCAAAGAAGGCCAGGCCTTTTTGCCAAATTATATTCTTTGGTGGGATTGTCGATGAAGCAAACGTATATTTGCTATAACAATCGACTACTATACTTTATT